AACATGCGGGAATGTGAGCAAACTTCTAGAGCCTCTGAAGTGTCAATCTCTCTTTATTTGATCAACCGATCTCGACTTCATTTAATTGAAGCTCCTAAAGAGGCACCGACCAAGATCAACTGAAAATAGGCCAGCGATTAAACATCCTGCATAGCTGTGGCAATATATAGGTGGTGCTCATCTTACGACCGAGCCCGAGATTTCTGTTGCTAAGCGAGACCTTGGTTAAGGGAGTTCCGCCCCATTTTGCAACCTTTCTTGCCCCATTGGTTAAGTGCACCCCTGAAGTCGTTAAGCGAGTAACATGGCTGTGAAGTGAATTTGGCTTCTCTGTTGGCTTGGGCTTGTCGGAAGGCCTCAAAAATCAGGTGATCGCGTCACCATCGGACACCGCAATGGTCATAAATACGAGTCAGTTGCCAAGTGGCCGAATTTTGACCCCATGACCCTGGAGACGCTGTGTGTTGGGAAAACAGCCATAAGACATTTTTTCCCCCCTCAGGGCTGTTATAAACTTCCAACCAGCAGTGCGTTTCAAAGTAGTTTACCACCGGTTCAGTGGGCCTGCCTTGGTGGACGCGCTCTGTGCACACACACACACTTTGAGTGTGCACGCAATTTGCGCAGGCGCAGAGGCTTTCCAACTCACCTCCTGCAATCCTGCACTCTCCCTGTCGCTTCAGCAGCTGACGCGCAGCAATCTGCTGTGCTGTGCAAAGCAGCTGCGCTTCAAAAGCAGGACATAAAGGTTAGTATGGGAGCCCAGGCGGGTGTTGTGGTTCGCCGGCAGCAGGTGCAGATGGCTGAGGAGAGCGAGGACTCAGATGAGGGGCCAGGACCATTAGGGAGTGGACTGCTGCCTTCAGAGATTGTGGGGGCTGGCAGCAGCGATGAGGAGGTTCCCGAGGAGCCTGTACCAAGTGTGCGCGCACACAGGATTGCTTATGGGAAAGATCAGCTACAACAGCATGGGCAACTTGGGAGTAAGGCTGCAAAGCAATGGCCCCTCCTTCAAGAAGATAAAAGCCAGCTGTGAAGTGAATGTTCTTTGCAGGAAGCAAAGCTGTTTTGAAACTCAGCCTCGTGGACATTACAGTATCTTAATTTGGTATTTGAAGACTCTTGTGTTGTAAAATATTTCTTATCTGTTATTCTTGGTAGCCTTGCACAGTTTTGGCGAGGCTTGTGCTTATTAAAGTTAATTAGTTTGCAACAGCCTTTTAACTGGGGATTCGTAAGAATCATTAAAAGGTTTCTGTTCCCTTTGGTTCATGTTTGTTTTATTGGAAGAGTTTGGGTCAGAACAGCGGGTGGGCGGGCCCAACAGCAGCTCCTCAGACAGAACCAGTTCAGTCTCCACTGATCTTCGGAGCTACTGGTATGCCAGAAGCGGGCTGAACCAGTAGAATAGCACCACTGCACCAAATGAATTGTTCTAAGTTGAGACCTAATGTGATGACCCAGACGTGGCACAAAGGCAACACAATTAGATAATCAGTAGGAGTCCCTTTATTATCGCCCCCAATGTCCAGGTTACCTTCAGGCTGGAGAAAAACTCTCCCAGGAAAAGCCTTTGATTGCAGAAAATTCAGTCCAAAACATGGTCAACAAAAATGGTAACTATAAGTCCAACCAAGGCAAAATGAGGTAACTAGTCCGGCAGGGCAGGAGAAGGAATTCCAGACCTGAAGGCACGGCAATAATTCAACTCAGTTGGGAGGATGCCAGGAATGCAGATAACCAAAGTCAACAAAAGAAAAACTCATGTTTGTTCCCAGCAGATGCCGCACTCAGCTTGCATCTCTTTTAAACTCTCATTCCCAGGTGTAACTAATGAAGGGAATCAGGGCCCCTTCCTTCCCCGTAAGCCATGCAACTCATGTTGCTCTTTTCTCCGTTCCTCCCTACGTGCCCTAGGATGAAGAGAAGGTGGGCCTGGGTCTTCCTCTGTATTCCCTCTCTCTTGTTCTACCTCTCCCCTGCTCTGCCCAGCCGGACTTTACCCTTCCCCAGTTCCTTCCACAGTCAACGGAGCCACACTCCCACTCCCTGTCAGTTGTTCGGCTTACTCCTCTGAGTCAGATTCCAACAGGGGCATGACAGCTATTTATAATGGTGTTAAAGTATGTTGAGCGTCTTAAAAGCCCCAACCTGCTTTAAATTTTAGTTGTTAAACCAGACTGATGGCAGTTCGGTCACAGCTAAAAGGCAGGACAGGGCTCCATAGGATGATTCGTGGTGTCTTCACACACACAGATTATGTTCCTTTGACCAATGACAACACAATGAACAGCTTACAATTTGGAAAGCCTGTGTCGCTTTGATGCAATTTCTTGGCCTCTGTCAACCTAACGCTGAATCCCATCAGTTGATTGATGGAGGATTCAGGCGAAGACAAGTGGTCGAATATTCCCTCATGCCCTGCACCAAGCACACTATGAAATTTTACTGAGTTGAATTTTTTTACGGTTGGGAAAACAAAGCTGCAATTCTTTCGGATTTTTCTGTCCCCAGATTAAAAGAGTGGGTGGAAATGGGGTTTCAAAATAGGCGAGCAAAAGACAAAATGGGTGAATAATTTTTGCAGGGCAAGCTGTTCCCTTCACAGTGATGGGGGCCAAGATGGAAAAAGTCGTGGTTCTCTCAGAGGCTGAGTGGAAAAATGGGGAACCAGAGCAGGTCAGCCAGTGAGAATTTCTCAGAAATGTTTTTCCGCCTTGGTTGTTTTTTTTTTCCAAGTGGAAACTGGACTTTCTTGTTTTTCTTTGAAGAAGTTTCATTTCTCACCGAAGGAGCTTCTTCATCTTTGACTGGATGGTGAAAGATGGAAGGATTTATCTTCCTTGCAGACAGCTGGTCCTTTGCATCCTTTTAGAGGGTCGTTGAGGCCACTTGAAGGTTTACCTGTTTCTTAGGGTCATCTGAGTTCTTGGCTGCAGGATGTTTTCTACCCTGTGTCTTTTCACTGTTGAGGTGACCCTACCATTCAGGTGACGCTGAGGACACAGACAAACCTCCAGGTGGCCTCAACGGCTCTCTAAAATAACGCAAATGACCGGCTGTCTGCAATGAAGGATGGGATGAACAGCCTTTGAATGGTGCAGGAATATGAACGGATTTCCAGAAAAATTGCAGACTACAGGAACCCTTTGGGCTTCAGTTTGAAATGCAGACAACACAGACTCATTCCGCAACAGCCTGCGCCTGTCTTCAACAGGGAAGGTACACCGGGCAGAAAAACATCCCGCGAAGGCTCCACACCCATTTGCACTACGCAAGGGACCCCGAGGACACAGATAAACCTCCAAGTGGCCTCAACAAAGGATGCAAATGACCAGCTGTCTGCAAGGAGTATAGACCCTTCCATTCGCCACCATCCAGTCAGAGTTGAAGAAGGTTCTCGGACGAGAAGCGAAATGTCTTCAAAAGAAAAAAACAAAACAAGAAAGTCCACTGGCCTCCAGAAAAAAAAGCACCTTTGGGAGGAAGTAAATCAGTTTTGATATTCTCTTAGCATCGCCCAGATGGACTCCTGGCCTTTTCAGAGTGGCCAACACGCAAAATCTTTATTAAGGAATAGGTCAGGATGCCATTGTATATTAACTTCACTCTTTATGCCCTATAGAATTGATGACCTAATCTTCCAGCACTGTGTCCGCAATTTCAGGACATCTCTGCGGTGGAAACAACCAGGCTGAAGTGACCTTCTAGTTTTCATAAAAGATGAATGGCTAAAAGTGTGCAGTCTTTGTGTGTGTGTGTGTGCATGTGTGTGTGTCACTTCCGTTCCTTTAGCCCCAGCAGAGCTATTTACACAGACAGTGGGAGTCAGTCGGAATGAGTTTTGGAGACTCAATAGAAGATAACTTCCAAAGATAAATATCCATTCAGAGATAAAGGCTGGAGACAACAGGAAAGGAGAGGTTTATGCAGGAGAAATTTATTAGCATCCCTCTTGAAACTGTCGTTTGGATAGACCAGTGATGGCGAACCTTTGTGTTGTGGTGGGCTGAAAGCGTGCGCGCGCATGCATGTCAGCACCCACAATGCAATGTGCTCCCCCTTGTGCATGCAACACCCCAGCCCCGCCCTCTTAACTGCACTATGCATGTGCGCGCCTTCCAGCTGATTTTTGGCCTGTTTGAGGCTGTTTTCACCCTCCGGAAAGCTCAAAGGAAGCTTCTGCAGCCTCGGGAGGCCGAAAAACAGGCCTTCTGGAAATAACGGAAGCGCCCGTTTTCCATCTCTGGAGGGCCTCTGGAGCCCTGGGGAGGCCATTTTTGCCCTTCTGGAGCCTTGAGGGAAGCCTTTGGAGCCTCATGAGGCTGAAATCGGGCCTGTTTCGGCACTTCTGGTATTTCTGGAAGGACCGTTTTTCGGACTGCAGAGGCTTTCCTTGAGCCTTTGGGAGGGCGAAACCGCCACAAACGGGCCGAAAATCAGCTGGGAGGCACATGCACGAGCAGTGCAGGTAAGCTTGACTGGGGCTTGTGTGCTTGCACAAATGGTTCTGCATGCCACCTGTGGCACATGTGCCATAGGTTCGCCATCACGGGGATAGACCTTCCCCGTGAGCTCATAGAACATTTAAAACCATCAGCTATTTTTTTTCCCTGTGGATTCAAAACATGAGCCCTTCGGTCATTTATGGGTAAATATTTTGGACCACAATACAAAAGGAAGTGCCGTTTTTGAGAAGAATTAGGACTTTTCCTCCTCCATTTTTTCCATAACACACATCAAACATGCCGGAGATTTAACCGCACAACCGAATCACACACGCGCACGCGCACACGCATACAAACACACAAAAGAAACAGAAATGGATCAAAAACAGGACGTTTCCCCCCCCCCCCCATGAGAAAGTCAAAGTGAGGACAGCAACCATGTGGAAGTGGCGGCCGCCATCTTGACTTTTCCTGATTCCTGCTAAGGACTCCCTTGATAGACGGATCTCTGTGGCCACCGCAGGAATGAATCCGGCCGTCGCTTTTTCTTACCTGTTTCTGTGTTGTCGTGTTCTGTGTCGGTCAAGGTAAGGTTGGAGTTGGCCCTGCTGGACAAACAGGAACTACGCCCGGACTTGGTGCTGCGTGCCCACAATCGCACCGGGTGTTCTGGCGACATGATGGCGTCCATTTCCGTATCGGCGTCGGAGCCAGCGCTGATGGAGTAGCTGCCGTGGGGCAGCCCTAAGTCAGTCCGATATAAAGTCCCATGGGGTGGAGAGACATCTTCAAAGCCCAGTTCTTGTAAAGAAAAGTTGGTTCCTGCACACAAGGAAGAAGAGAACACAAAGCATGTCAAGAGTATATTCATGAACTGGAATAGAGCTT